CCTTTGTATCATCACTTACAATTATTTACAAAAAAGTACAACATACTGCTGAAAAACCAGTTGATTCCTATTTTATTATTTTATGCATTTTTCACGCATAAAACGTGTGCCTGCTTTATATATGCCACCCCCATACTTTTTGTGCTTGGAAATTTTGGAAAAAAGGGGTAGCTTATACATGGGGAAATACGGTGATTCAATGCTTAGGAGGTGAAATTTTTATTCATAGGTCTATCTAAATCCTATTTTAGCTGATTGTGTTGGCAAATTTTTCAGTGATTATTTTATTATACACAGCATAGTAGTTTAAAAACATTTATTCCATCTATAATTGCATATATATTTCCTATTATCCTTGCAACTAGTGGGAAGAAGACATCAATGTTAAAACTTTTAAACATGGCTCATCAATAAATGCAAAACATTTTATTTTAGAGCTTTACTAAAATACGATGCTCAATAAAAGAGCAATAAACTAGTTAGAAAGCACTCGCACTTAAAATGGATTAGAATTAGCCCTACCTTACTCTTAAACTGAAATTTGTCTTAAGGCGAACTTACCATCGAAATGTAGAAAAACTGGGTTTTGAAGAATCCCTTAGTAGATATATGTTGGAGTACCTTTCATTTCGTTTGAAGAGATGAGTGTAAAGGATTCGTAAGTTGGTTCCACCGGAGCCTGTGGGGGAGTTGCCTTGGGGCTGTCGTTGTAGATTTAAGCGAATAGTTCCTCGGCGCACCACCCTGCGACCACGATGAATCCTTGCTGACCTTTCGTCCGTCATGTGATGGACATCTTCAGAGCAGGACACCATGGCTAACGATAATTCACCAAAAATGCGAAGACAAGAAAGGTTTCCGGCTTCAAACTGACTTCCTTTTTATATTCCTATTTGGTTCACTTATGCATCTCATGTTTTGGTTGGATGTCCTATGCTTTACCTCTATGTTTGTTCATAAGTTAAGTTAAGTGGCTACGGATGACATGTGAAGGGGTTACAGATGAAGCGTGAAACGGATGCAACTGAAAACGAACAGCTACATCCCCTAAAACACTTATGCCTATGATCCTGTACATATTTTACCTTTAATGGTAAAATGTACCAACAAGCACGAGGTTTAGCAATGGGATCGTGTTTATTACCAATTTTAGCAAATAATTAATTGAGAAACGCTTAATTTAGGAGGCACTTATGGTTCCTAAATTATTAGTTCGCTATATGGACGACTACTTTGTAATTTGGCGACATGAAAAAGGAAACCTGGAGAAGTTTATTGGTTTGATAAACATGGGAAGACGAACTTCACCATCGAGTTAGAAAATAAAGGTGGTCTACCTTTTCTTGATGTCCTAGTTGGCAAAGAGGGAACCAGGTTAGGTCGAGATGTGTATAGGAAACCCAGGTTTATTTTTGAATTCCTTCTCCAACCACACTTATGGGGTTAAAGTAAGAGTTGCGAAGCCTATGATAACAATGAGCATACGTCTGACAGATGTTAAACATCGGTACCAGGAACTGAGGAGACTAAGGCGAACTCTGGTTGAGAATAATTATCCAGGAGAGCTGGCTGACAACTATTTAAGAATAGAAGGAAGTACATATTTGGGGCTAGATAAAAGGATAGATCACCTTACCAGGATCCGTATGTTGCCATCGTGTAATCTGTCGAAGATGGACGAATTGCTGAGGAGGTGGGACATCAGGACCATTTATAAAGAGAAAATAACACTGTCCTCGGTATTGCCTTCTTTTCTTTTCGAGAATACTCTGACCCGCTCTCCAGATCTGTAGACCCATACATAAAGAGTTATCCTAACATAAAACAGCATGGACGGCTATGTGGGCCAAAAATCGTAATTTGCCGAATACCTGGCTTGCACAGGACACCAGATAGATTCGTCTAATGTCAATCGCGTAGCTGGATAGAACAGAACACTCAACATCCTGAATAGAAGGAATAAGTGTAGGAAGTTAAGTGGAAACTACTTGTGGCTGTTGGATAGGGTAAGAGAGAGGGGGGGACGAGAAGTACCACCGAGCAAGAGGAGGCTTGAGTGGATTAGAATCTGGTTTTAACTCTCACATCACACTCTTTTCAAGAGCAATGTACTCACACAACACGCGTACAATGGGATGCAATCACATGCGGCAATATTGCAGGATCTAAGGCATATGTGTTTTAGGGGAGGATGCAGATATTCGCCTTCAATTGTACCCATTTCACGCTTCGTCTGCAGCCACTTAACTTGAGTTATGAGCAAATATAGAGGCAAAGCATAGGACATCCAACCAAAACATGAGATGCATAAGTGGACCAAATTGAAATATAAGGAGGAAGTCGGTTTAAAGCCGGCCACCTTTCTTGCCTTCGCATTTTAGTGAATTATCGGTAGCCATGGTGTCTTGCTCTCATGATGTCCATCACATGACGAACGAAAGCTCAGCAAGGATTCATCGTGGTCGCAGGGCGGTGCGCCGAGGACCTATTCGCACAAATCTACAACCACAGCCCCAAGGCAACTCCCCCATAGCCTCCGATGGAACCAACTTACGAATCCCTTACACTCACCTCTTCAAACGAAATGAAAGTTACTACAATATTACCCTCGAAATATCGTAAAAACCTATTATCCAGAAGTAAAAATTGCCTTAATTACATGGTGGCTTCATTAGCTCCCTAAAATTGTGGAACTGAAATGGCGAAAATATCTAATATAACTACATGTGAGTATTAGAATTGCGGGCAATTTTAGGTTTATCTTTTTCAAAATTATGTATAAGGGTCAAAACTACTTCAAGGCAAATTGATTATTACTTCTAGGGGCCGATCATCATGCTTTTAGGATCCGTAGGCTAGGAGGCTTGCCATCACGTCTTCAACTATTTTAGGTTTATGAGCAAATACAAGAAGCTTCTGTGAAGTATTTTTCACATAAACTAGGCCCATACAAAATTTCCATATCAAAATTAACATTTATCACATAAAAAGCGATTATTGATGATGACTTGCTCTGATGAGCCAAATGCTGTATCATTAAATATATTAGGAAGGCTTAGTTTTATGCAATGACTACACATTTGATAGCCAATAGTTCACTTTGGCTTTATACACACTTAAGGCCTTCTGGATTATTTATAGTATAATTTATTATGTTGTCATATACTCGATGATCCTTTGTTGGTTTTACTGCAGAGGAATCCGTTATCTAGCTAAGAGCTATAGATCGGTCCTGGGGGGCCTGTTTCTTCCAATAGGGGACAGTGAATCGATACCTGCGATAGTCACAGTCGTTGTGCAGTTTGGCGAAGTAAGTTCTGCCGTCGACTCCATAAGGTTGAAAGTCTGTGTTTTGTTCCTCAAGACGTCCAGATGATAGAAGCCGGGCGAAAGCCTTTAGATGCAAAGGCAAACAAGATTAACATGTTGAACTCTTTTACATGCATAGGTTAAGTCAGTTGAGTACAGATTATGTAATATGTAAAATGCACGGGATGGTAAGATATACAACAATTTCACAATTGAGGAACATATAGGAAAGTATATTATAATATATTATATTTACATCGCATGCTGACTCTTCAAAATCGTTGCCCCAGAGAAAGATACGCTTTAGAGTCTGGTTATGATTGGCCATAGCATCGGCTATTGCACAAAGGCCTGGCCCTTTAATCTGGTTGTAAGAGATGACCAGCCTTAAACGAATAAAGGAATAAAACCATAATGTAAAAAATTAAAATAGCCTACGAGCATGCAATTCGCGGCTTATCATAAGTTTTTGGCTAGCCCATATTTTTTATGTAGAATAACATTTTTAATAAAGCAATATAATGATTTTTATATTGATGAAATCTTGTCATTGGCTGGATTTGAGTCACTCATTTCGTCTAAAATGAAAATTTTTAATCTAGTAGCGCTTCTGGAACTGTTAATTGAACCACTAAAGAAAGAATGAGTAATCAGATCAATTTATTCATATACTTTATTGTAACTATTAAATCTAAGAGCCTATTCTCACTAAAAGAAAAACCAAATCATATCGGAACCTCACCTAAACTTACTAGAATGATAAGCGAAGCGTTGGACAATATTTTAATAATCAAGACATCTGTTTTCATGCGCATAAGAGAAACAGATTTTTTATTTACATGAAAGGAACTAACATTGACTA